CTTTTAATTGTGTGTGATGAGATGTGAAACTCTGGAGAACTGCTTGGTTCTATGTGTGTCTTGGTTGAGTTCCAGTGGGGGAACTGTGCAGGTGTCTGCTGCAGAGTCCTTATGTCAGTCATGGTGTTTTCTTGCAGGGATGTGCTACATCAGAATTTCGAGGGCTACAAGCCTGAAGTACAGGAGCTGATATGTGTAGCTGACCGCCTGGGCTCACTTATGCAGTATGAAACGCCCGGTTTCCTGCCCAACAAGAGGATACACAGAGGTATTCTCGGGAAATGGAGCAGGGTCTTTAGGCTGTGTTGTCTCTCTCTAGAAGTTGGTATTTATTGTACTTACCCAGCTTTCCGTGTGGCCAGCACAGAAGTGTGTAGACTAGTTCACAGTGCGCTCTGGAGAAAGCTGCCTCCTCCAGCTGGGCTCTGCTCTCCTGCTGCCGTGTAGATGTGGAGCATGGCACTCAAGCTCTCACTGGAAGTTGGGCACCCGATCCAGGGCAGCTGTCTTCTTCCTGCTGGAGTGAGGAGGAACTCGAGGCCCTCCTTGTTTCTGGAGGAAGCAGGGCTGGGTCTGAGTAGGACGTCAGATGCTCCGTCTCGCTGTTTCATTGGTGCTTCTGGTTCTTTATGTGGTCGCCAGGACTTGAGAGAAAAGATGAGAACTGGCCCCTCGGAAAGGGTTCTGGTGAGCTCTGTCTTGGTCTTCCTCTCTCTTAGCCATGGGCTTGGCGGCACTGGAAGTCATGCAGGCTGTCCATCGGACCTGGACGAACTCAAAGGTCCGCATGAACGGGAAGACGAGGTTGATGCAGTGGAGGGACATGTTCGACATTGCCGTCAAGTGGAGAAGGTAACTGGGCCAGGGAGACAGTGGAGAGTGCTCCTAGCAGGCGTGTCTTTCCTCACCAAGAGATTTGAATCCACGCTTTGCTCACAAAATTGGACCCTGTAAGTTAGGGTACTGAGTTCTTTTCTCCTAAAGTGTGCCAGACATCACTGTTACCTTTAATCTCCAGAACACACTCAGCTCTTGCTCATGAAATGGGAGTGAGGGTTGCCAAGTTTCCAAGCCCCTGCGTGAGCACAGTGTTTCAGATGAGGTCTTTGGAGTGTCCTTCCTTACCTGTGGCCTGCCCCCTAAGGTGCAGGCTGCCTCTGGATTTCTAGAACTCATATAGCTGCCCAATATATTAGTTCCTTTTCTCATTGCTAGGACAGAACACCCGAGGAAAAGCAATGTAAGAGGGAAGGGTTAGTTTAAGCTCGGGGCTTCCATCATGGCGGGAAGGTGTGCAGCAGGAATGTGAGGCAGGTGCTCACCATCATCCCGTCAGGAAGCAGAGAAGTGCTCAGTCACTTTCTCCTTACTGAGTATGGGCCCCTAGCCCATGGAACGGTACCAATTACATGTGGGTGGGTCTTCCCCAACAGTTACCCTTCTGTGGAATCACCATTGTGGGTGTGTTTCCTAGGATGATTCTAACGCCCATCAAGTTGACAGTTTAGACCAACCATTACAGCTCATCAGCCTTTGCTGGCTTCGACCTGGTGTGGCCAGACTGTGCATTGGGATGTGCTGGTCTGTGTGCTCTTTTCAGAAGTTGGAGCCAGTAAGAGCTCCTTCCTCACTTTTGCAGAGACCCATCCTTGGTTTATCCTGGAAGCGGTGGGTAAGGTCTCAGCCCTCACGAGCTCTGTTTCACAGGATCGCTGATCCAGACCAGCCTGTACTGTGGCTGGATCAGATGCCAGCTCGAAGTCTCAGCAGAGGTTTCAACAACCATATCAACTTAATCAGGTGGGAACCTTTTGTGCCTTGTCCTTGTTGCATAGGAGGGCAGCAGCATGAGATGCACCTTGGTGGCCTTGATAGGGACCATGCTCATAGTAGTTCTGTACCCCAAGTTCCATAAGTCCCTTCCCACTGACTGCTCCGGCTGCATACAAGCAGTGTATGCCATGCACCTCCACATGTAGAGCATTACTGAAGGGTGGGCTCACGAATTATGGACTAGGAATTATGGACATAAGAAGTCATGAAAGAACATAGGAAGTGATCAGATGGAGAAAGCAGTATTTGCCGTAGTATCCTCCTGGGTCTGCTCTGTCTGGGGAACCCCAGCTCCACCCTGAGCGCTAAGGGCCAGTCACCGAGGTTGCTCCCCGGTGAGAGTCGGGCAGACTGAGAGCCTCTGTGTTGTCCTGAGCCCTGCAGTTAGGAACCTGGGTGATGCTTGCCTTTCCTTCCTTTGTGGGCTACCTACCCTGAAAACAGGCATGAACACATACTGAAGAGACCCACCTCGGGGATGCTCATGGTGTTTGCCTGCCATTTAGTAAGCATGACTTCAGATAAATTGGCAGATGTGGCACTATGTCATATCTAAAATACTTCCAGCTCCAGAAACCTGGATCCAGAAAGTGTTACTCTGTCTAGCATTTGACATTTAAATTTAGGTTTTAGTGTAAATGTCCTTTTTATACTTATCTTTTTAATTTCTAGAAGTCATGTTTCTTTTCCCTGTATAATTGGTTCCTTTCTGTTTCTCACGGAATGATCTGTGGTGCTTTTAGCTAGATTTGGTCATGGGTTGTAACTGAGGCCACTGTGTATCACCTTGTGTTCTTGCTCATGGTGCTTGAGTCAGAGGCCCGTGTCAGGATTTGATGATGGAGTGCAGGAAAGGGCCACCTGGTGTAGCCAGTGGCCAGGCCTGAACTGTCCCAAGAGAGAGAATGGGCTTGTGTACCCACCCCCTGGTGAACTCAGCCTGGCCAGGAAGCTGTGATCCATCCATTGTTGCTGCCAACCACTGTGCATTCCAGAGAGTCCCAGGGATTGAGACTGGAAAGATAGATAGCCAAAATGGTGAGCCATTCACGGGTGGTGAGCCATTTGGGGATAGTGAGCAGAGAAACAGCAAGAACAGATGTGTACATGTGGAGGGTCATGGTGGCAACAGATGAATGAACAGACTGAGGGGCAGCAGACTGGGAACAAAGGAAAGGGTTTGGGATCTGAGAACACAGATGCAGACCCCTGAGACCCCTGCAGGGTGGGAAGGGAGCTGCAGAGGCTTTGAGACATGGCCGGGACCCCTGCAGTCGCTCAGAGGTGCCTGGTGGAGTAGCTTCAGAGGAATTCATTCAGCCTCCAGCGTAGGCTATGGTTGGCCCCTGTCAGCCCGAGAGTAGCAGGAGAGAAAGTGGGACCTGGAGACTGAAGTACCCTATTGGGGAGAGGAATCCTACTTGAGTCATGACCTTGACGGGAGGATGCAGTGGGAATGGGGGTGGTGTTTCTGGAGCAGTAAGACTCAGACTCAGCTGTTCCTAGACATGAACACCTTTGAGAGAGTTTAAAGGAAGAAAAAACAGAGAGTAGGAATGTGAGGAATGTAATGGTATATAGAGGGAAAGAAGACTGCTAAACAGCAAGGAGAGGCATCATCAGATACGCAGGGTGCCGTACAGAGAGCGGAGAAGGGCATCTTCACCTAAGGTAGTTGCCATCGGGTCTGAACTCCGTTTAAGCTGATCCTGGACCCTTTTGTCCAGGACAGGCTCCAAGAGCCCAGGCTTCCTGCTGGGGTGGCACTTGCTTCTCCCACAGTGACAGAGCAAGCAGCTTTCTTACACTCTGCCACACTAGTCTCGGCTCTTTGTTTTCAGAATTAACTGATACTTACGTTCCTTTGTAAAATGATGGTTAATTTTTACCATTTCTTACCTTACAGGGGTCAGGTGATTAATATGAGATATCTGGAATATTTTGAGAAAATACTCCATTTTATTAAAGATAGAATTCTTGTTTATCATGGGTAAGCCTTCAATCTTCCCCTTTGCTGTGAAGGATTGATTCCATGCATTTCATGTGTGGTATAAAACTGAGCCACTGGCAGACAGAACAATCTAGATCAGAGGTTTCACGCCTTTTAGTCACTTGCCTGTATCATGACTTCACAGAGTCTCAGGCCTTGGTGGTGCTTTTAGCCTGACACTCAGCACTGTGATATTCCCAATTGCCTACCAAGCTCTCATCTGTTGGGGAGTTGAGTTTTGAATGGTGGAATCCCCAGCTGAGTGGAACGACGCGGAACCACCGCAGGGCGCTTTGGTCTGAGCCACACACACTCCCACTGCAGACTCGGAACAGGACAGTCAAGGTTTTACTAAGAAACTGGGCCTGTACCTGGGGCCAATGTGAAGGCTGCCTGCCGGCCATGCCGCGTTTCCTCTGCTCACCTCCGTTCTCATCTGCATTTCTGCACCCGCACCTGTATGTGAGGGTGTATGTGAAGGACTGCCGGCCATGCCACGTTTCCTCTGCTCACCTCCGTTCTCATCTGCAACTCCACACCTGTTAGCTAGGATTGACTTTGCTTGTTGCCCAGTTTGGATACTGTTTATCGTCAGTGTCTGGCAGTGGATGTCAAGATCTCTGGGTGCTCAGGTCCCTTCCATTAAATGGTATGACATTTATACAAAACCCACACACGTGCTCCCATATGCTTCAGATCATCTAGACTCCTTATAATACCAACACTTGGCCAGTGCTGTGTTGCTTAGGGGGTTGCCGAGCAGGAGGAAGGTCGGAACAGTTACTCCGGACACAGTTTTCTCACATGTATTGCTGGCCTGGGTAGATGATGCTGTTCTGTCAGTAAGGAGCCCTCGGCTGTGCAGGCCTACAGCATTGAGCTGCTTGTCGTTAGGAACAGTTGTTTAAAATGTAAATGAGACCCACGTGTCATGTTTTTGCATTAATCTCCATTGCCTCCTCCCTTCTGCTTTCCCCCTCTCTTCAAGAGCAAATAATCCAAAGGGCTTGTTGGAAGTCAGAGAAGCCCTGGAAAAGGTACATAAAGTGGAGGACCTTCTTCCAATCATGAAGGTAAGTTTATCATCAGAATCGCAGTTGGGGATGGAGCAGTGACTTAGTGTTAAGAGCACTGGTTTCTTTTCCCGAGGGACCTGGGTTCAGTTTCCAGCACTCATATGGTGACTCAGAACTGTCTCTAAGTCCAGTTCCAGGGGATCTGACTCCCTCTTCTGACCTCTGCAGCTACCAGGCGTTCAGGGTACACAGACATACGTGCAGACAAAACACACTTACACATAAAATAAGCAAACTAAAAGAAAATATCTCAGGAGGAATTGTATGAGAGAAAACCAGCAACTTAGAGAGAAAAAGGAGCATGTGTTTTACTATTGTGCTGTTTTAAAATTTATAAAGGATGCCATCTGAAATCCCTACATAAACACATTGTAAGCGATAACCAAAACCAAGCACAATGCTGAACCAGACTCAGCCGGAACTGATTTTCAAGGGAGCAGTTGACTCAGGAAACAAAAGGGACTTGAAAATAGATGCACTCAAACTGAACTTGTGGTCATAATCAAGTGCTCCTCGGTTGCCCTTCCACATGTGGGAACCCAGGACAGCTGTAGTTAGACTGATTCCTGAAAGAAGAGAGAAGTTGAGGAACCCATTTCCCCAGCCTCCTTGGAGAACGTTCACTGGACCGTAGGGCAGGTGGCCAGCAGCTGTAGAAGAGGAGGAGGTGCCTAAGGCAGGGGTGGAGGGTCCATGGTGCATGGCCATGCACCCGCAGTGAGAGCTTGCTCACAGCGGGGGCTGCCCAGAGGGCCCTGAGTAGAGTTGTCTGGATTGCAGAGCTGAGACTGAGCTGTGGCCTTGAAAGTGGGCCGTTCCTGTGTGCACCTCCAGCTTCATTTGGTCCCAGAGGTGACTCATTGTGAGTTACGGTAGAAGGCCCATCCCTGTTCCCTAACACTGTGCAAGCCGCAACAGCATGAGTTTTGATGTCTGCCCTAGTTTGAAATGCACTCTGAAAGAACAGAAATGAGACGCACTCTTGACATAGGAAGTCAGAACCAAGAAAAGATGCCAGTCCAACTGAAAGTTCTCACACACAGAGAGAGACAGAGAGAGAGAAAGGGGGGGGGGAGAGGGAGGAGAGAGAGAGAGAGGGCGCTAAGGAGGAAATCCTTAGCTGTGACAAGTCTCAGTGTGACATAGGTGATGACAGATTGGTTGAAGGAAGGATCTCAGATGGCCTTTGAAGTCCACCTGTGCTGCACTAACCTTCAGTATCATGGCAGTTCCTCCCATGACTGAGGCTGGCAGGACACTCCATAGAGAAGAACCTGGAACCGCAGTGGGTCAGCTCCTTGGTTGCTTTCCGGTGGAGGTTAGGCACTAAAATCTAGTAAGATAGCAGGTGGAAGACAAAATCTGCTTATACAAATATGGAAAGGAAAGCCATGGGTACTGAGACAAGTCCCACAACACCTAGCCAGAGGGTGGCAGCATCTCCCATGTTGTGCTTTCTGCAGGAGCCTGTCCTTTGGATGGGAGCATCTTCAGCTTCAGACTGGCTTCAGCCAGATTATGGATGTGTTGGTCTACATGTGTGTTTAAAGTGTACAGGAAATGTAGCTTGCCACTTCCTCTGAACAGCCTGGAGTGCCCCTGGAAGACTTAGAGATCATGCTCCGGCAAATGGCTTATAGCTGGGGGCTGGCCTTACCCCTCTACTCTGCCACTTCCTAGCCCACTGGCTTGGCCAGGCTTGTTTCCTTTCTTGTGAGTGTGCATTCTTACCTGGTCTTGTCTGTGGTGAGGCTCCAGCTGGCGTATAGTAAGTTTCTGGACTTGTCTTCTGAGATCCAGTCCCTGAAAGAAAGGCGCCTCTTGCCTCTCAGTTCAGCTGGCAGCCTTGGTAGCCTGCTCTGTCCAGCTGCACCCTGCTCTGGGCTCCAGCCAGCCCTCCTGTGGCCAGCTGTTGGAGAAGCCCTCCCGCCAGAGCCCAGAGAAGGCCTTTGTCATTGCCTGTCTTACTCCAGGTCCACCCATCCTAGAAAAACATGGACAGCATCAAGTAGCCAAAGTAAGAAGGCACTCTTCTAAAGTCAAGGCAGAACCTGCTTACTGCCATTTTGGAATGTCACAAATTTTAACTTAACGCCGGCATCTGAAGCTGTGTTCCTAGGAGACACCCTAGGCAGCTCTGAGGAACTCCTAATAACCCGTGGTCCACAAGGTTGGAGTGTATACAGATAAAACTCCCCAGCTGGAGAAGGAATACTGAGCACCTCTTGGGCCTGCAGCTCTAGGGGAGCTCTTGCAGGAACACAAAGTGCTTTTTCAGGGTCCAGGATTCTGGCATTGCTGCTCTGTTTGCTCAGACTGCGGCCTGCTGAGTTGGGAGGAGAAACAACCCCAGAGCAGCTGCCACAGTGAGCCAGATCTTGGCTGGTAGGGGTACCCTGCAGCTCCCTGCTGGGGTCTTTGCTACTCGGTAGGCTTGTGGGACGTGAGACTGGGGCTCCTGGGGTTTGTGCTGCACCTGAAGAGAGGAGAGGTGTCCTTAGTCACTGTCTGCCAAGAGAGGGAGCATGGTCTTTGAATTTGAATGCCTTAGGACCAAGTCAGGGTCCCAGTCAGGGTCCAGGGCAGATTAGAACTAGATATGTCTAGCCTGCAGCCTGTGGGCCGCATGCAGCCTGTGGGCCGCATGCAGCCCAGGGTTGCTGTCAGTGCGGCCCAACATGTTTGTAGATGACAGTGCCGGGTTGCAGTGTCAGAACTGCAACTAATATAGATTTTTGTTTTCCCTCGAAAGCAGTTTAATACCAAAACGAAGGACGGGTTCACTGTGAACACCAAAGTTCCCAGCCTCAAAGATCAAGGGAAGGAATATGACGGCTTCACCATCACTATCACGGGAGACAAGTATGTGTGCTCAAGTGTGATGTGGGGCTGGTGGTGGCCAGTGGCGTGTTGTGAAATGAACTGTGTCCGAGCCCTGTGCATACTCACAGTGTACCTCTGGAGCTGCATCTCTCCCGGCCAAGTACACAGCCCATTGTGTTCCTGCACCAGCCCTGCCTGGGTGCTCAAAGGCTGTGGAGATCTTGTCTAGCAGCAGGAAATCATGATATGTGCAGGTCCAGGGCCACCATGCCAGGATTGCTGATGTGTGTGTATTGCAAGGGTGGTGTTGTCTTGGTGGAAAGTTTGGAGGCACAGATAACCAAATGAAGGAAGTAGAAGTGAAGCTTTGAAGAGCTGAGGTTGGACTTGTCACTTGTGCCCTCCTCCTCTGCCTTTATTCTCACATCCTCATGTTTTTTCACAGCCACTGACTTAGAAGCATTTTAAAAAGTATTTTGTCTTTGACAGTTTCATACGTGTATATAATGACTTTTAGTCCTTTTCACTCCGTATTACCTGCTCATCCCCCGACTATTCCCACTGAAAGCCTTCTTCCCAACCAGGCCCCTTCCTACTTCGTGTTGTGTGTGTGCATGCATGTGTCCCACTGCATTTAATTAGGATAGACAGACATTCAGGCCTCTTCTCCCATGAAATTTTCCGCTTTTCCCCAAGTCTCCCAAATTATAAATCCTCTTTATTTTGAACTGTTACTCAGCTATGATATGTCTCCAAGCCAGGTCACACCTCCTCCTCCCTCCTGCTCAAGGATCGAAGAACTAAAAGGTTCTGCTGATGACGTCATGATAAATACATGCTGCATGAGTTTATCCTCACAGAGCCACAGTGGTGCTACATGCAAAAGCTTAAACACGATACATGATATGTGTGTGAGCCTCCCACAGGCCCTGCTCCTGATTACTGACAGGGTGGCTGGAAAAGTGGTGGCAGAGCCTGGAGCACACCTGTTTCAGTTGCTCAGCACTCTGGGCAGACACTGCGAGCACACACACACATCACACACACACATCACACACACACATCACACACACATATCACACACACATATCACACACTACTTCTCCAGTGTTCTGTTTGGACTGCTGAATCCATGCCTTTGACAGTGCTGCTTATGTTTCAGGGTTGGCAATATCCTGTTTTCTGTGGAAACTCAAACCACAGAAGAGAGGACGCAGCTGTATCACGCCGAAATAGATGCCCTTTATAAAGACTTGACAGCAAAGGGAAAAGTACTGATCCTCTCCTCAGAATTCGGGGTAGGTTTGCCTTGTCTCAGTTTCTATTCCAGGGTGGGGGGCTAGAGAGGGAGAGAAAGAGAGTGTGTGTGTGTGTGTGTGTGTGTGTGTGTGTGTGTGTGTGTGTGTGTGTGTGTGTGTGTGTTGCTGAGGCTGGAACCCAGAACTACACACGCACTAGGCAAGTGCTCCACTGCTGAGCCACACCCCAGACCTGCAGTTTCTTTGGTAAATGTTCCACATAGACCCTTCCCCGGTCTTACTGAGGCTGTATATCCTATGCCTGAAATTAAATGTAATTGTCTCAAACTCTTTTCTATATCCCTATGACACAAAAAAAGTCTCTAGGGTTTAAGAAGCACAGTAATGGGGAATGACACACAGTTCGTATTGTTAGCTCTGTGCTGTGTTAGTACAAGTGTAGGGTCAGGAGAGGTTTGCCCAGATCGGCCACAGTGAAAGTGGTCTGTGTCTCACCCTTCTCCCATAGTCTTCCCTGTATTATGGTTGCTGCTTATTGTGAGACCGTTGTCTTGACTGCCACATTGAAGGGATTTAGGAGGCACCTAGGAGGCACCTCTGGCTCTGTCTGTACAGTGTTTCTAGAGAGGTTAATTGAGGAAGGAAGACCCAGCTTGATGTGGGCTTCACCATCCCATGGACTGGGGTCCTGGACTGAATAGAAGGGAGGAAAAAGAAAGTGACCTTGGCACCAGCATGTGCTCTGTCTGCTTCCTGACAGCAGCTATGGTGTGGCCAGCCCCATAATCACGTTTCCAGCAGGTTCTCATTTAAACTAGCTGGTGCATGCTGACTGGCTCCTGGTTGTGGAGAACACAGAGGCTGGGCACTCTTTGGTCTGTGACTTCTCTCCCCGTGTCCGCTGAGACAAGAAGTGGCTCCTTGCAGGAGGAAGACATTCCCCTCACACAGTGGAGGCTAGCGGCTCCCAGAAGCCACTGCACTTCCTTGACATGTAGTCAGCTATTCCATGAGTTTGGGCACCTCGCCTGCACAGTACTAAGCACTGCAGCCTCTAAGTCTCAGTCCTGGAGGGAGGGGACAGCTTGTGAGACTCTTCTGGGGAAGGGACGCACATTCTAGAAAACATATTAAGTATCATCTCGCAACATGCATTTTGAAATTGCAAGTCACCATAAAGGAGACTGGTCTTGTGTGTTCAAAGGTGGTAGCCTAGGAAACAGCTGGGGAAATGCTGCTGGAGTGACTAGTGTAGACACTAGAACGTAACACATGAACAAGTGGCCTTCGGGAGAGGAGGGGAGCCATCCTTTCTCACACAGTGATGGATGTCCCTCACTTAATACAGCACTAGTTTGTGATATGGGCTTTGAGTTCATGAACCTCTCTCTGTCCTTTTTCCTAGGAGGCCGATGCTGTCTGCAACTTAATCTTATCCTTAGTTTATTACTTTTATAATTTAATGCCATTGTCTCGAGGATCTAGGTAAGTGATATCCTATACTATGATGGTTTCAAGTTGAAAACTGTTGCTCCAGCTCTAAAGCACACCATAAATCATAGGAAGCTCCTGTTGTTTCCTCTAAAATCCACCCTCGGGGCTAGAGAGATGGTTCAGAGGTTAAGAGCACTGCTTCTTCTTCCAAAGGTCCTGAGTTCAATTCCCAGCACCCACATGGTGGCTCACAACCATCTGTAATGAGATCTGGTGCCCTCTTCTGACCTGCAGGGATATGTGCAGACAGAACACTGTATACATAACAAATAAATAAATCTTTAAAAAAAAAAATCCACCCTCACCCTCAAATCACATCCTTGTTGGCTAGCCCTGCAGAGACAGAGGTGGGTGGATCTCTGTGAGTTTGAGGCCAGCCTGGTCTACATAACGAGGCCCTGTCTCAAGAAAAAAGAAAGAAAGAAAAATCATATCCTTGACCAGCCATCAAGAGAATTTAATGTAAGTCCAAGAGGAGAGTTGGCTGTGTGTGCTTGTCTCACCAAAGTAGGGAAGGAAGCTGGAAGAAAACTAATGGAAATACGTTTTCCCTCAGATGTTCCTTCTGACAGCATCCCTCAAGGTCCATGTGCTTTTTAAGTAGAAAAGTAGAAAATAAAAACAACAAAGTTCCTCTGTTAACTAAACACTTAAGGTTTTAGTCCAAAGAATTCCTGCGTAGGATTTTGTTTCTTGGCGGAAGCCCGTGGGGAGGTCAGTGCGGTGCCCGTAGACCGGGGCTGACTTACTTGTTCTCTCTGGACAGTGTCATTGCCTACTCGGTCATTGTGGGAGCGCTGATGGCCAGTGGTAAAGAAGTGGCTGGGAAGATCCCCAAAGGGAAGGTATGTCGGGCTGGCAGGGGGTGCATGCGTGGCTGCACCGTGTCCTGGGCTTCCGGTTATGGGACCTGTGTGGGTTAGACCTCACACAGCGCCTGCCTTCACTTCATCCCATCTTGGTTCTCTTCTCTCGCAGTTAGTTGACTTTGAAGCCATGACAGCCCCTGGCTCAGAGGCCTTCAGCAAAATAGCAAAAAGCTGGATGAACTTGAAAAGGTAACCGTAGTTGTGCTTGGTGCGGCCTTGCTGGGGAAGGGAGGAGGGGCAGAAGCCTGTGTGTGCTCGGTTTTTTATAGGTCAGAGCTTATTGTCATTCAGGACACTGTTCTAAAGTGAGGGATTCTGCTGCAGGGAAGAGTGAGCGATGATGGGCTGGGGACATAGCTCAGTGGATAAAGCACGCCTTGAGGATCCAAGCTCAGGTCCCCAGGACCCAAATAAAATGCTGGGTAGTTGTGGTAGCTCACTTGGAAATTCAGAACTCCAGAGTGCAGAGATGGGATCCCCAGAACAAGGAAGTTAGCTAGGCTAACCTGTATCTGTGAGCTCTGGGTTCAGTAAGGGTATGTGGAACAAAGTTTACTGTTTTTTTTTTTTTATTTTAAGATTTATTTATTTATTTATTATGTATACAGTGTTCTGCCTTCATGTGTCCCTACATGCCAGAAAAGAGCACCAGACTTCATTACAAGTGATTATAAGCCACCATGTGGTTGCTGGGAATTGAACTCAGGTCCTCTGGAAGAGCAGTCAGTGCTCTTAACTGCTGAGCCATCTCTCTAGCCCTGGCATCTTTTTTGTAGTCAGGTTCTCCTTTTTCTCCATCCATTATCCCAAACTCAGGCCCAGGTCCTGGAGTGGGTTAAAACCATTCATTTCCCATGACCCACATGTAGCACAGGCCTGGTGGCTTGTACTGTCATGGCATTCCAGTTACCAGAAGGTGGCACTTTGTTGCAGCCTAGGCAGGGGCTGTGAGTGACCAGCTCCAGCAGGGGTCCTCTCTCTCCGTCTTGTCACTGTGTGCCAGAGTCCAGCAAGTTGCCTTACAGCTCTCATCTCCAGACATGCTGGGGAGTGTGTACAGGCTTGAGCTCACAATGCTCTAAGGATGAGTAAGACACTGACTTATTTCATGTCTCTTCATGGCTACGTGACAACAGCCATCCTGTCACCTACTGGGCCATTTGAGCTGTCTAAAGCTGAGAAACAGTGTCTGTCACCCACAGAGCTCAGCATGGCCCCTCTGTAGTCTTGTTTTGAGCTTACTCGTTTACACATGGTTTGGTGACGTGCTCACAAGGTGGAAGGTCCTGCTTCCTTTTCTTAGGTAACTTTGGCAAATCTTTCCACAGACCACACAGCCACGTATTGTACAGCCATGGTTCATGGCAAACCTGGTGTGTAATGTTTCTCAGGGCACATGGGAGTTCTGAGCTAAGGATTTTATCTACTGCTGCAGATGGAGGAGGCAGGGCTTAGAGAAGGGACAGCGTCAGGAAGAGGTAACACCAGGTTTGAGATTAGCATCCTCAGAGTCCAGCTCCAGCATGCATGGCGGCCACAGGCAGGGTGTGTGATGTCTGGTCCTGGACACATTTAAGAGGCATTTCTTTTCCCAAAGTCCCAGCTGAGCTTCCAAGCAGCTCCGGATGTGAGGTCACTGCTATGCAAGTATCTGCCAGACCTTCTGCCTTTCTGGTATTGTCCTTCATGAGAGACTCAGGGGTCTAGAAAGTTCCTTATGTGAATGCATGTACCCAGGCTCTGGCCCTTCCTTTAAGGCAAAGGTAATGGTCACAGTTTCCCTCTGCTTCTCTTCCAGTATCTCCCCTTCCTACAAGACCCTGCCATCAGTGTCAGAGACATTCCCGACTCTGAGGTCCATGATCGAGGTGCTCAACACGGACTCCACTCCGCGGTGTCTCAAGAAACTCTAGCTCCACCAGAGGATTTGTACACACGAAGGGCCAGGCCTCTTGCTTCTTAAGTTATTTTTTAAAACATGGAATTATTATGAAATTAGGTCCTTTATTACTTTTGATACCAATTTTTGATAGGAATTGAATACTTGAAATCATTTTCTTTACTTTTTCTGAACCATAACAGAAATCATGAAAACGGGTTTTGGAGGAGAAAGCTACTTGACCAGGAAGGGAAGTGTGTGTATTAATGGCACCTGTTGGTTTCCATGTGTTAAGGCATACTGCTCCTTCCTTACAACAAAAAATGTTTACTTCAAAAACCAAAAATTAATAATTATTAAGATGAACAAAGCCAGCAACAAGCAGGCCTTGTCTTCACTCGACAGAGGTGTAGATGTTCCTCAGACTTCCTTCCTGTGCACCTTTGTGGGGTGCCTTGCTACTGCCATGCTCCGCCATGTGGGCCCTCCGTCCTCCCAAACCATGGGAGGGCCCCGCACCTGTGGTTCCATGGCTTGTGCAGACGACACAGACAGTATTTGCCAATGTCCCGACACTGAATCACTGAACCATGTTCCTCTTTCTTTTGTTGGAAAAAATAAGCCGAGGTGATTTCTGTAAGTCACCGAGTTTGGGCACTGGATTATGTTGTTTTTATGTGTGAGCTAGTTTTGCTTTTAGGTATAAGAACATTTAGAAAGTGTCTTGTTTTCTCAGACAAGATGAATGCTGCAGTGAGAAGGTCCATTAAACGGTTGCAGTTTGAAACCATGGTCAGTTTTTGTAGTCTTGCTGTTGCCATTGTGGTGTTTTTAACCTTCTATCTTATTGATGTATGGGTTTAGGTGCTAGGGCTGGAACCCAGAGCTTTCACATTCTAGAACACTCAGCTACTCAGCTGCAGCCCTAGTTTCTGCCTTGAGCTTCTTGTAAGAGCAGGACAGTATCAACATTTGTAGCCTGAACTGTGGTGACTCGGTGATCCCTGAGTGAGTGGATCACTGTGGGCCTCTGGAGGAGGCGGCCTGTTTGTCCACCCCCATCATCTACAGTACCAGTACAGGAAATGAATGGTGCTTCAAACCAGTCCCAGAGATGCGGCTTTCCCGAGGTGATCTAAGGGAGTTACAGTGATGAGTCACCAGACCCCTCCTGTAGCCAGAGTCTACACACAGGGTCTGTCTTGGAAGAAGCCTGAGGCTGCACTGATGGGACAAGTGGCCCACACTTGTTTCCTAGGTAACACCCACACCCTGAGGTCTCTGCCTCCCCATAGCTGGCTGATAAGCTACAGGATGGTGCTGGGGAATTCCTACCAGGGACTCTCTGGGGACCCGGGACTCAAACTTCCTACTGCCTCAACTCGCAGTGCCTAGCGCAGTCTGGAGCCATATCTCTATGTGCTCCTTTGGTTACATTGCCCTCTTGGCTTCATCCCCTCTGACAAATGGTCCAAAACCAGAAGTGGGGCCTAGAGGAACCACTGAACCCAGTGGAAAGAAGCTGGGCCTGAATCAGCTTGTGTGGTGATGCTGGGATAGGATGCTGGACAAAGGGTGCCTCAGAGCCACACAGGGTCCAACCTGTGTCCTCAGAGACAGGCCGAGTGCACTCTGAGGAATGTGTGGTACCCCGTGCTGTCCAAGTTAACTCATCCTTCCCCAGAGTCCTGATGAACTTGAAGCACCAGCGGGCTGCCTGCAGATGGATTCTGACAGTGGTGGGGAGGGTGGGGTAGGAACCACAGATGGAAACAGAAAACGTGGGGCTTTTAAACTTCCCTTCTGCTTAAAGTCCAAATCCTTCGGTTTCATCAGAGACTTTGCCTGCCATTATCACCAAACCATCATGATTGGAAATTGAGATGTGTGGTGAGGGCTGCTCCTCCGACTTCATGGTCCAGCTTGTCTCCACATGGTAGGAAGGGTCCTCATGCTACTTGCTCTGGAACTCTAGTCCCCATCCCTGAGGTCCACACACGTTACTTCACTCTTCATGCCCCTACCAACCCCACTGACTGAATTTAGAGTCACCATGGAAACATGCCTCTGGGTAGTCTGTGAGGATGTTGCCAGAAAGGTTTATCCAGTGTAGGAAGATACAGCCTGAATTTGGGCAGCAGCATCCCTCAGGCTGGGGTTCTGGACTGAATAAAAAGGAGAAAGTGTGCTGAGCACTCTATTTCCTGATTGTGGATGCAGTGTGACCAGCCACTCCACACCTTCCCACCTTGATGACTGTACCCTCAAACTGTGAGTCAAAACAAATGCTTAAGTTCCCTTTGTCACATACTTTGTCCCCCAACATGTTCATCTTGGGGACACATACACACTTAGATTCTAGCAGCGCAGACTAGAATGTGGTTCTTTATAACTCAGCCCATTGACTCCAGATTACTACATTTAATTTAATTACTAGCCCACTTTCTGCCCGTGCAGGTGATGTGATTTGATGTCACAAGTCCTGAGAAGCAGTGGGTCTGTGTCTACAATGGCCAGAAGCTCCCTGAATAGGTGGGCCAAATCCCCCAGTCCAAGACATCACAGGCAGTTCTGTTTAGTGGCCAAGAAGGTGTCATCCTAGGGTACCCTGAGGACTCTTGTTCCAGGAAGACCATTGGGAATACATTTTTGTGTGGTTCTCTCATCAACTTGAGAAGTCCCTTTAGAAACCAGCCACACTTCTGACACAGTAGTTCAGAACTTTTATTTCTCCAACTTGAATCTGTTTCTTAGGACTTCGTATTAAGGAACTAGGGAGATGACTTAATGGGTAACACACTTGCTGCACAATCATGAGGATCTGATTGCAAGTTCTCATAACACACTAAGAGGCAATATGGCTGTAATGGCCTCAAAACCAGTCTTTGGGGTGCAGAGGCCAGGGTTGCTGGTGTTTGTTGGTTGCCAGCCACCAGGAAGCTGACCGCTCCAGGTTTGGTGTGAGATGATGCCTCAAGGGAGACCTGACACCCTCCCCTGGTTTATGCATGCACTCACGAGTGCACATAGACTACACACATGCTTAAAAAAATAAGACAGGAGAATACAGGATACCAATAATCCCTGTAGGCAAGAAGATCAGGAATTCAAGGTCATCCTCAGTTTTGTAGTGAGTTTAAGGCCTCTCTGGAATACTTGAGACCCTGCCAGAAAGAATGAAAAGGAAGGAGTCCAAGCTAGTTGTGGTAGCTTATAGCTATTATCCTAGCCAGCAGGAATATTACTGCAAGTTTGGCACAATAAGAGCTATATAGTTCTAGGTCAGTCTGGGCTACACTATGAAACCCTGTTTTAAAAAATCATATTCATATATATATATATATATATATATATATATATATCATATACACATACACACACATACATATGCATTTTTGTGTTCAACTCTAAACACTGCCTCCAGAAAAAATGAGCAAGTGCAATCAGTGCAGTAAGATGCTCAACGTCCCTCTCCAAGGGAGCTGTGTGGTGTGGGCCAGTAAGACTTCTGGGCAACCAATACCCCTTCCCAAGCATCCCCCTGAGCAGTCCTAACTGGAGCCACTTGGGTCCTTCACTCGGACTTGTTAGTCCTGGGGCCTAGGGAAGGTACTTCCTGATTCTCTGAGCCAAAGAGGCTGCCCAGATGTCTGACAACTGCCTGAGAGGAAGCTGCCCAGGAACTTCCACTCTGAATATCACTGAGGAAGGTGGCTTGCGCCCAGTGGACCTGTCAGATTTGATCACTTAATTTTGCCTTGTTGTCAGGCCAGAGAGCCCAGCTGTTAGGCCAAAAGCCGGTTGGAACTCAAGCAGCAGATGACGGAAACATCAAAGTGGACCGTGGACTCTGAGTCTGAAGATACTCAGACATAATGTCTGTGGCGTCTAGGGAAGGTGTGACTAGGAACCTTGGGCAGATCTTCTCTGCCACCTCCTTTCCAGAGAGGAGCCATTCCAGAAAGGAAGGGCCCAACATTTGATTCTAAAAATGTATTTGCATGAGAGCAGCAGGGCCATGTGCTTGCTGCCTCCTTGCAAGCTGGCTTAGATACCTACAGCCTGTAGAACAGCCCTACTTCACATTAGGAAAATTACCCAGGCCTCAGACTCTTCAAAGGAAAATGCTCTGTGTCCTTGGCCTGTGCCCCCCACCCCCTGCAAGCTCTGGTGGCAAAATACATCCACCTAGAAAATGCAGGTGTAGCTCAGTGAACACGATAAGTGGGCACCTCATCTTCCTTAGGTCAGCAAGATAGAAGAGACTATTCCATGCCCCACAAGGGAGGCCCTGCCTCTTTCCATGGATCTTTCCAGTGGTGAAGTATGCATGGCAGATTGCCTTGGTCCAGGGCAGCGAGAATGGTCTGATTAGGTCACGGAGAAGACACCCTAAGAGCTTCAGAAAGATAGTAAGAGGTGGGTTCTCTGCCTCTTCACTGCTGAGGTAAGGGCTAGATGTGAGAGGTGAGGTACCCTGTCTCATTCTTAGCAGCCTAGCTCCTGGGGTGATACAACTCAGATGCAGTGCAGACCCTGGCATTAAGTGTCACTGAAAAGCAGTAACACCAGTTGTGTCCTTCGAGTCGGTGTCCTCCAGGTGAGTCATGGAGAACACCCAGGAAATGGAAGCAAACTGTTCCTTATTTGTCCTGGACTGCTGGAGGCTTGGGGCCATGCTTCTCAGTGTGGTCCTAGGCAACTGGACCAGCGGCAGCATGGAACTTATTGATGGTGTTGGACTCTTACTAAAGACTGGTCTGCTCAGAAATCTGGGCCCAGGTGGGCCCAGATCTCACTTTGACAGTGAAATTCTGCCAGTTGCAAGCATGAGAAGCTTTCAGATGTAAAGATGTTGTGTCTGCTGCCACATGTTAACCGCTGTCTGCACCCTCTAGTTCATGGACAGTAGGTAAGTAAAAGAAAGTTCTTTGATAGCTAAGGTTCTTATTAAGATGTAGATGCCAGAATTCAGGAAGTTGAGGCAGAATGATCATAAATTCCAGGCCATCCTGGCTACAGAGCAAGAAGACCAAGTCAAAAAAGGAATTTAAGCTGGGCATGGAGGTGTACCCCAAAATCCTAGCAGTCAAGAAGCTGAGAAAGGAGGATTATGAGTGAGGCCATCCTAGGCTACATAATGAGATCCTCATCTTCAACGCTCAAACAAAAAGGGGAAATGAAGCATGTGATATAAAAATCTCAGTGGTGAAAACTGCAACTAAGTGAACAGAACACCACTGTGCCCGTCTGTGCTGGGCCTGGTCATCCTGAGCGCAGCTGCCTTGCCTGGCTGTACCTGGCCCTGAAGAGCAGAGCATATTGGCTGGGGCTGTGCATCTGTCCCACTCAGCTCATGTTATTGCACTGCTGTAGAGGTCCCCTTACCCTGTGAATCAACTAGCTGTGCGTTTGGTTGTTTCTCTGGCACGTGTTTGTGTGTTATGTCAGTTACTTTTCTCGGTACTGCGACCAAGTATATGACAAAGCAGCTTAAGGCCCGTATATGAGGTATAACCCATCATGGCTGGGGAAGCAGAGGAGCTGGAGGGTGAGTGAGGCTGCTTGTTCACATCTTGATTGGTCAGGAGCCGGGAGAAAGTTGAAGCAGGTCAGTCTGTAAAACATGATAGCTAACCTCTGTGACCCATCTTCTGCTATGACCCACCTCCTAAAGGTCCACAGCCTCCCAAACAGCATCACCAGATGGATAAGCCTGTGCACATACAGACCACAACACGGTTTTCTTGTTGTTGTTGTTTTTTCTCCCAACCTGGAAGAATAAAGCAG